ACTCCATCGGCTGATCTGGAATCAATGTCTTTTCCCTATCATCATTGCACTATGCCTCTCTCTACCTTCTCCCCCATCAGTATTCAACTTGCGTTCACGATTTCTCACTTTCCTTGCCGTATTCTCTTTTATCTCAATTCCTTCACTAGCCAGACAATAATCGCCTACGGAAACGACATCACCCAGGTCTCTAAAAATGATGAAACCACACACCACTGATTTTGCTTCTATGTGATTGTCGATCCCATTCTACAATAAAAAACTGATCTTCATCATCTTTGCTAAAATTAGGGTTATTGTTTTTGTGATTTAGGTGTTTCTAATCTAAGAGTATTTGTTTTTTCGATTACGATTTCCTGGTCTAGGCTTTTTATTCATCAACATTGGTGGGCTTGATCTCTCTCGGAAGTTACAAGGTATGTTTTCTATAAAAACCACCATTTTTGTACTTCCATGTTTTTAATTTATGCAATTTAGGGGTACCCTATTTAACAGAGAATTGGTTTTATATATCAGATGATTCCAATTCAATGAAAATCATATATGAAGATGACCATCGTAGCCATTTTTCTATGGACTGTATCCATTGGTTTTTTCTTTCTGAATCGAAACCTTTAAGTGGTAGAAGTCACGCTAACAATCTCTGCTTATTAAATGTGCAGTTAGATGCGGTTTGAACTCTGATTTTATTATCATTTGGGTGGTAGACGTCGCACCAACGGGAGCACAGGTGATGTCTTTTACCCAAAAAAAAATTACACATTAATATCAATCTTTTACATATGTCCAAAAATCAAGATTCAATATTGATATTGTAAGGTTTTCACACACTCATCCATCAGTTTGTAAGAAAGGAAAATAAGAATTTAACTACAATCAGATAAAAGCGTGTTCTCTGTCAATAAAGATAAATGTTTTTTTCTCATTATATTGGTTATATGTGTTGGAACTTATTGAGCATAAAAAAGCTTTTTTGCCCATATGTAAACAGGGGGAAAAGGAGAAAATAGAGGACTAGGTTGTGGAAAGTTTCTGAATTTTGATTTTATGAGCCATTTACAGAAGAATAGAGAGGCATTTTGCCATTTGCGGCGTCATAACTTGCATGTGTGTGTGGGAGGGGGGAAGGGGTTATCTTATTGATCAAATAAATGATTCTTTTCTGCAAGACAGCAAGAGCATCAGTTTGTACCAAAAACCCCTACCTAATATGTTCTTAATCATTTTACCTTTTTCTTACTGTTTCTCTTACTAAAATCATATCAAGAGGGTTAAATCTTTGATTCTAAAATCTAATTTAGTTGACTTCAGGTGCAAAAGATTAATATATTGATTGTTGACATTGGTGTGTTATATAGATATGTTTCACAAAATCAACATAAGTATCTCTATTTAGCATTAGCTCCAACATGCAACACAGAATAAGATGTCACTACGAAACACAACATAAAAAGTACGTTACTATTTTCTCTATTGCAGTTGCATGGGGCCTAATTCTCGAGTTTTTGTTATAAACAATCGGAATCAGGCTGAATATTATCATATATATACAAAGAAGGTTGCTATTTTCTGCATTCCTTTAAGCTACAGTTCATTGGCTATGTTAAGTTGCTTAAAGGTTTTGACACTGATATTTGCAGGAACCAATCCTGGTTACAGAACTTGTAAAATTATTACGGAAATTGCTACTGTTATGCAAGAATTTACTCGGTCGCGGTAAGTAGATTTTTGTAAACTTCCATTACTTAACAAAAGAAAAAAAAAACTTTCATATGTTACTGATTTAACAAAATTAATTTAAATACTTAATTCAGTCTGATATATTTGATGACAAGTATTCTCGAATCTATAAGTATTAACAAAATTGAGATTCTATTTTTCATGATTTATTGCTTTAATTGTTTTAAAATGCATATTTCTTTCCTTATTGGCATATAAATAAAAAAAATAACCTTTTTAAAGTGCTAATTTATAGATATACAATTTTTTTTATCATTGGATTTAGAATGATCAACATATTATTACATCACTAAAAAAATAAATAGATATATCATGCAAGTAGATCCCCCATGTTTATACTTTCCCTCTGTGTCTCTATCTAAAACTCGCCACTGTCACAATGATTGCAACTTGGTTTGGAATGAAAACCCAAATTGATTGGAGTTTGGTTTATGTATAGTTGGGTTTCAAGAGGTCAATCAGTTATGTATTCTCATGTTAACAAAAAAGATTCATAATTATGCAACTTATAATTTTTTACAGAGCATTTAAGAATTTTTGTTAACAAAAAAGGGACATTATGTCATTTTTTGAACTCTGCATCCATCAATGGAGGCTGCATTTCTGGGTCTTCAATATTTTATCACATGATGGTGGAGGTGTTGTTAATTTTTCAAAGTGTGCTTATTGTTGACTGTTTGACTGTTTGTGAAATGTCTAAATTACCCTTTGATTTGTAGGTGGATTGTTGAGGTGGCTCATGTGGGGAGATTTTGATTCAATTAGTGGTCTTGTGAAAAGGTGTGGAGGGTTTTGAGTCAATTATTGATCTTGATCTTGTGAAAAGATCATATTATGAACAAACGGCTCTTGATTTTGCTACGAAATTAAGAATCTTATGAAGAAAAGAATAATTTTCAACGATGTTGACAGCATTACTGTAGCCCAGTGTAAATTAGAGTATTGTAATAAAAATTCTGAAATTTAAGTACATGTTTTAGTTTGATGGCAAATAATACACGTGTTTTAAATAATTTTAATACCATCACCTATTTGCAAATTGTTGTGAAATTTGTTTGAGAGGTGCCAATTGTTTTTTTTTAAGTGTCAATTGTTTTTTTTCCAATAAAACACTTGATTAAGCATATAATGTTAAATTTAATTATTATTTGGATTTTTTTTGTATAGTAGTATAATTATTATTTGTGGCTTCATTTTAAATAGGTTTATAATTATTCATTAAAAATGTATTTTAACATGTCAAATGTTAAAGTAATACCATGCCATGTTTAAAATATGTTAAAACTATACAAATAATATTATCACAATCATAAGTAACTTATCTATTTATATATTTTTATATTGGACTTATTCTAATTAAGATTGTAATCATATTAGATAAATTTATTGTTGTGATTAGTTTAACTATTTATGGTAAATATTTTTACACTGGACTTGATTTTAATTAGGTTTGTAATCATATCATGTAAATGATAAATCTTTTGTTTTTATCTTATAGTTGTTCTTTTAAAAAATCGATTGGACTTGATTTTAATTAGGTTTGTAATCATATCATGTAAATGATAAATCTTTTGTTTTTATCTTATACTTGTTCTTTTAAAAAATCGATGGATACGAATGGTTGTGTGAGTGTGTGTATGGATGCAAACTTGATAACAAATTAGTTTTTTTTCAATGTACTTTGATAACATATTAGTTTGCTTTCTTTAATTTGATAACATATTAGTTTGCTTCCATTAACTTTTATATAGTAATATTTCATAATTTACCAGCAATATTTATATTTTAGTATTACATGTTTCTTTTTCGTTGCACTTTTTTTGGATTATGACAATTTATAAAAACAAACTAAGCGTTCGAAAAGAACTATTTACCATTATGAAAATTTCAAAATAAGACGAACGTTTCATTAATTCTTAGTTGCTTCGAATGTTAAAGTTTTTATATGTGTGCATTTTGTTTACAACATCAGTTTAGTTGCTACGACCACCATCCATTATCCTTCCACTCCACCCCTCTCCTCCTCCCGCACACACACATACACACCATCTCTAAAATGCGATCTATAAAGGAACACAAAATGTAAAACATCATAACTATAGCGTTTAGGGGAAAATCTCTCATTTCTCGATGCCCATTAAAGAATACATTGTTCGTCGGAAAGAAAACGAATCGTTGAATTGAAACTAATCTTTAGTGATATTTGTCAATACATTGTGTCTTATTTTTAATATGACATGTTTCCTAAAACATTCTAATCG